GAGGGGAGAGAAGGGAGAAGGGGAAGGGAAGGGGAAGAGGAAGGAAAAGGGGAAAAGGAGGGAAGGGGAGGGGAGGGAGGAAAGAATATTCAAGAGAAAAGGAGGAGGGAATAAATCTATACATCAAAATCTCATTCTCTATCATGTTGGAGTATGAAGGCTTCTGCCCCAGTTCCTGGCTGGGGTGGGGCCACCTAGAGAGGTCAGCCCTTAGACTGGGGCAATCATCTGCTGAGCATACACTATGTGTCAGACTCCAGATTACTTGGGGTCCAACCATGCACAAGTGCCTCCAACTCTTTGAGCTCCGCTGCACAATGAATGGGATGTTCACATCAGCACCCCTTTTAATGTCTCTTAGGCCACATAATGAGCTGATGAGATAGGTATTATTCGCCCAACTTAGAAATGAAACACTGAGGCCACAAGAGAGAAGACAGCCCCTGTCCAAAGTCACACACACACACCTATTAAATAGCAGAGACAGATTTGACCCTGTTCTCCAAAGCCTTTTATTTTTCCTAACTACACGTGCTTCCTTAGAAAGGGCATTTGAGTGTGAAAGCAGATCTGAAAAGAGGGGAGTCTCTAAGGCTAAGAAGCAAATGTGCTGGACCTCAGGCCAGTTAGGGGCTGGTTTTCTGTGCTCTGATGGTGAGCAGACGTATTTGCATCTCCAGACGCCCCCGGGAATGAAATCTTCTGTGTTCTAGAGACTGTAGTTCACCCCAGGTCAGGGTAATTGTGCATGATTAACGGTTGTCTCTTTGTGAAAGACCCACACAAACACTCCAAACCAACTTAGTTGTAATTTCATACTTCTCCCAGTCCATTTAGAAGAACAGGGTTTTATTTCCTGCATGCACAGCCATGAAATCAGAATCTTCAGCTCAGGAAGAGAACTTTTAAACCTCTGATTCACAGACTGTGTTTTGCCAAGGCCAGGGCCAGACAGCAAGGAATGTGTCTGGCCCCTTTAGGTAAGAAGGAAGGAAAAGAGAGATTATAATAGAAAGGGGGGGGGGTACTTGTCCATTGCTCACTGTGCACCAAGCATCACTCCATGTTTATTAGATGAGTTAACTCCCTCGGTCCTGAAATCCAATCTGTGATTGTCTCCATTTTACAGATAAGGAAATTGAGGCACAGAGAGGATAGGTAGTTTAGGTCACGTGGCTACATAGTCAAGGAGCCATGATTTGAACCTTGATCAACTGGTTCCAGAACCAGGTGTTAAGGAAGCCCCATCCAGCTTCATGTTTTAGATAGGCTCCAAACCTTCACTGAGGTCATCAGTCAAATCAACTTGATTGACAACTGAGTGTAAAATGGTTCTTTTACAAGCAACAACACCATGCCCATCAAAACTAGAGTTATCACCCTTCGGATGGCTCCATCACATCAGCCACCTGTTCCCAGCTCGAGACCCATCCAAACTGCTCCCTTGGTCTCAGCCATGCCCACCGACCTTCTGTGTCCCCATGGGCATGATGCTTTTGCATCTCTCCACACCTTTGCACCTGCTGTGCCCCCCACCTGGAATGCCAGTCTTGTTCAACCTTTGCCCACTTTGCCAAATCCTGCTCACCTTTCGTGACTCAGGTTGAGCATCTCCCCCAGTAAATAGCTGATGAGTGGATGAAGCAAAACATTAAGTCCACGTTCACTAACTGACATGCCACGTCCAGATGTGTCCCTCAGTGGGGTTTTGCTTGGCCGCATGGTGCTTTTAACAATATGAATTAGTTGCCTATAATTTCTAAAGTAAGGGGTATCACCTTAAACAATTTTTGTAGTTCTGGGTGTTCTTGAAAAGCCAGATGATCTGGTGACTGGACCTAAAACCTTGCAGAGCCACCGTTGGCCGGAGCTGGGCAGTGGCTCTCCCCTTTAGTGGATGGGACATGGGATCTCCAGATCACCAGAGCCCTCTCCTCCCTCATCGCTGCTCACTTCATTCATGTCTCACCCTGTGTTAGTCATGGCTCTCTAGAGGGACAGAACTAATGGAATAGATAGAAAGAGGAGTTTATTAAGGAGTACTGACTCACATGATCTCAAGGGAAGATCCTACAGTAGGCCATCTGAAAGCTGAGGATCAAGGAAGCTAGTCCAAGTCTCAAAGCTGAAGAACTTGGAGTCCGAAGTTGGGGGGCAGGAAGCATCCAGCATGGGAGAAGGATGCAGGCCAGAAGACTAAACCAGTCTAGTCTTTCCACGTTCTTCTGCCTGCTTTTTATTCAGGCTGTGCTGGCAGCTGATAAGATGGTGCCCACCCAGATTGAGGGTGGGTCCGCCTTTCACAGTCCACTGACTCAAATGTTAATCTCCTTAGGCAACACCCTCACAGACACACCCAGGATCAGTACTTTGGATTCTTCAATCCAATCGAGTTGACATTCAGTATTAGCCATCACACACCCCCATCTGGCCTGTGTAGGTCTTGGAGTTCTTCAGACTTGCTCTATAGGACAGTCTGCAAAGCAGAAGTTTGGAAGCAGAGAAAGGGCAGAATTGCCCCTTTTCATTGTGGTAACTGCCTGGCCTTTCCCACCGCAGGATATATTACATAACAAGTCAGACCACTGGCTCAGAAATGCGTGATAGGAAAAACCACATCCTATTCATTTATTTATTTCACAAATATTTTTTGTAGGACTCACGATGTGCAAGGAATTCTGTCTAATTGGCATACATTTCTGGGAAGCTGCCAGAAGGCAGTCACCTCTAACCCTCTAACTTTTTATCTTTTTTCTTGAAATCTTTAAAATGCAGCTTTGCCGTGCTGTATCCAAGTTCCTAACGCTTAGAACTTTCATCTTGTAAATGGACCATTAAAGACCCGCTCCCTGCCTCCTCTTGGTGACTCCTTTGGCAGTTGATGTGCCTCTTGGAGTGTGTCTTTCAGATGCTCTGGGTCTCAGCTAATCTACAGCTCGCTTTCATGTGTGCTTAGATGAGGGGAAGAGGCCCAGGACTGTGCCTCCTAGTCAGGCTCATTACAGCGTCCTCAGCCTGTGCAGAAGATGCGGATCCCTTACCCCAAACCCGGTCTGGCAACTTTTATTGAAGCTTAGGCTTTAACTGGGGATTTTAAAGAGCTGGGGGTTTTATGGGAGACAGCTGGAATGCCAATCCCTGTAGGTAGCCACAGCCAGAGCCTCCAGAAAGGAAACAGTGGGTTTCCAAGCAGACCAGCTCAGCCTCTTCATGCCCAGGGGAGGAAGGAAGGAGGGGATTGCCAGCTGCTCTCTGATCTTTGAACCTGAGCCTGTCAGCTTCACAAGGGAGCAGCAGAGAATTGAGTCAACCTGAGGGTCCCTGTTCTCTCCACCTGGGATACCTCACTCAGCCCCAGCCTCCACTGTCCTGAGCGCAATAGCCCCACATCCTTTTCTGTCTATTCTCACCAGCGGGTAAGGCTGTTCACGAACAAGGACACCCCACAGCAGGAATGTGGCGTTTCTTCCGGTAGAATCACAGTATATTTTCCTGATTCTTCTCTGACTGGTGATTCTAGAAACTCAGACCTCAGGTGGTTGCCATGACAACTGGGCTCAGATTTTTTTTTTTTTTTTTTTTACTGTGTTCTATATCCAAGAGAATGAAGGTGGAGGAAGCTCCATCAGGTTTCCCTTCCTGCTTCTGGCCTTTTATTTCAGGCTGAGACCACAGCCATGTGAGAGGACAGGGAGTAATTCCTGGAGGGGATTCAGCTGGATGAAATCAGAGGGCCACTGGGGGGTTTCCCAGGCTTCCCCTGTCCATTTCCTTCCTAATTGTGACATCATGAATGCCCTAACAAGTTAGGCCTGTGAGAGGTTCCAATTCCTGCCTGCCCTCTCACTTCCCGTGCCACCTCTCCCAGCTACAGAAACTGACCCAGACCTGCAGACAAACAGAAAGACAGAAGGACATCCAGTCTGGGGACCTAGGGCCTCGGCTTTGCCGCGCAATGGCTGTGTGACCCTAGGAAATGCACTTTGCTTCTCTGGGCCTCAGTTTTCCCATCTGTAAAGTGGAGTTGGTGGTCCAGGAAAAAAAAAAAAAAGACAAGTCTGTTTTCTCTCAGCTGCCATTTCCCAACTATTGGTAGAGACTGCCTGAAGCACTCCGTCGAGAAGTCAGTTAGCAAATATCAGAGTTCTACTTTGCCATTTTTATAAAACACATCCACAGCTTCTTACCTGCAGACTGCGGTTCTGGCTTCTTTGGGGTAGGAAACAAAAGTCACTGCAAAGGAAGAATCCCGTCTAAAGGAAGAATCCTTCCAAATTATCAAGATTGTTTTCCTCCTAATCTCTTAAGTTTTCTCATCCACATCTAGTTCAACTGCAAGTGCTTTTAGCAACTCAAATCCAATTGGCTGTTCTAAAGCATGCAATTTCATTTTTATGAATGCTGTTCGTTTTTTACACACTCATTGACTGATATGAAATTTTATTAAATTGTATAATTATAATAACATAAAGGGACAGATTCAGCTTATGTGGGGTCTGAAGCTTATATGATTTGGAAGCTCTTTCAGAGGAAAAGAAAAGAAACATAAAATTACCTGCCAAACATAGATGCTTATTTAGAATGAGAATATGTCACGATGTGGATCACAAGTTTCTACTTTTTAAAAAATGAAAATACTACAAATATCACAAAATCCAGAGAAGGTGATCGTAATATTTGTATTAGTTAACTACCTCTCATATCACTAAAATACTTTTTATCCAACTTCTGGCTACAAACTCTTAATAATTTCTTCTCTATATAATAACTTTGAAATCATGTTTTCTAGAGAAAGAAGAGAATAATTCAGTATTTTCTTGAGCATAATTAACAATTGTTTGTAATGGAAATACATAAGATATACAACTTCATGTACAGAAATAATCACCACTGGTAGCACTGCTTCAGAGTATGTCCAGGATCCACAGAAATGAATAAATTCCTTTTATATGATTCCTATTCAAGAAAATAGGATATGCACACTTGAAAGCTATACTTACAAGCAAATGCCTGCTAGAAAGGAGCTTCTATTTTTACACGTTGTTGTTCTAATGGAATCCTCTTATGGTTTTATGGGTTTGATGACTGAACTTTCTGATTCTGTACAGTTTAGAGTTTCTCTTCCACCACCCACATACCTCTGGTACCAGGCAACACGGAACATACTCCTATTGTGACACGTTCTCTGACTCTGCACTTGAACGGCAACATCAGTAAGTAGCACAATGAGAGCAGGAGGGTTCTAGAAGCCATTCCTACATTGGAATGGCCTGAAACAACTGCACGTAGAAATGACTTTGATTCACACAAATATACCTCTTGAAAGCCAGTCTAAATATATTCCTAAATCAGCTTTATTTTAACAGTCGTTCTAGTGGCCCCTGACATCTGGGAGGAGTGAAAAGTACTTGTTTTAACCAATACAATTTAAATACTTTATTTTTAAAAATGTTGAAAAACATCGGGAGATATATCTAATAAAGGACTTTTTCCAAAATATATGAAGAACTCTTAAACTCAGCAACAAGAAAATGAACAACCTGATTAAAAAATAGGGAAAAGACCTGAAGAGACACCTTGCCAGAGAAGTCACACAGTTGGCAAATGAGCATATGAAAGATGTTTTACATCCCAGGTCATTAGGGAACTGCAAAGGAAACAACAATGGGATACCACTAAACACCTACTAGAATGGCCAAAATCCAAAACATTGACAACACCAAGTGCTGCCGAGGATGTGGAGCAACAAAAACTCACACTCATTGCTGGTGAGAGTGCAAAATGGTTTAGCCTTTGGGAGACAGTTTGGCAGTTTCTTAAAAAAGGGAAACCTGGCCGGGTGCTCTAGCTCACGCCTGTAATCCCAGCACTTTGGGAGGCCGAGACGGGTGGATCACGAGGTCGAGAGATCGAGACCATCCTGGTCAACATGGTGAAACCCCATCTCTACTAAAAATACAAAAAATTAGCTGGGCATGGTGGCGCGTGCCTGTAATCCCAGGTACTCGGGAGGCTGAGACAGGAGAATTGCCTGAACCCAGGAGGCAGAGGTTGCAGTGAGCCGAGATTGTGCCATTGCACTCCAGCCTGGGTAACAAGAGCGAAACTCCATCTCAAAAAAAAAAAAAAAAGCTAACCATACTTTTACCATACAATCCAGAAATCATGCTCCTTGATATTTACCCTAATGAATTGACAACTTATATCCACATAAAAATCCTGGACACGGACATGTAGGCAGCTTTATTCATAACTGCCCAGACTTGGAAGCAACCACTTCCCTTCAGTATGTAAGTGGATAAACTATAGTATATCCAGACAATGGCATATGATTCAGCCCTGAAAGAAATGAGTTCTGCAGCCATGAAAAGACATGGTGGAAACTTAAATGTGTATTACTATATGAAATAAGCCAATCTGCAAAAGCTATGTACTGCATGAATCCCACTATATGACACTCTGAACAAAGCAAAACTATGGAAACAGTAAAAGGTCAGCAGTTTCTAGGGGTTGAGAGAGAGAGGAATGAACAGACAGAGCACAGGAAATTTTTTTTAGGATAGAGAAACTATTCTGTATGATACTACAGTGGTAGACACATGTCATTATACATCTGTGCAAACCTATAGAATGGGAACAGCAAGCGTGACACGGTAATGCAAACTATGGACTCAGGAGATGTGTCAATGTATGTCCCTCAATTGTAACAAATGTGGGGAGCATGTTGTTGATAAAGGGAGGCTGTGCAAGTGTGGGGACAGGCTTGTGGGAGATCGGTATCTTCCTATCAATTTTTCTGGGAACCTAAAACTACTCGAAAAATTAAGTTTATTAATTAAAACAAATTTTTTTTTTAAAATACCATGACCTCATGAACATACTGCTAGGGCTCCTCCCAGGGCCCTGGGAGGGGTCTGTGCATGTGAGGTCCAGAGCTCAAACGTCATTTGGTTATTTTTTGAGAACAGGTATCATTGAGTCAAACAGGTCTGGGAACCAAGAAGATTGATATTTGGTAAATACGCACCTCAAGAGGAAAGAGAACCTACACACTTCTCTTTCATCTTGAGGTACATATTTACCAAAGTGTGCAACACGCTTTGCACAGCAGTTTGTCTACTTGCAGAGGGGATAGAGAAGGCCACCTCTTCAAGCGGAGGATGGTAAAGAGAGCTTCTACTATAATTGGCAATATTTGTTGAGCTCCTACTACATATCAGACAGTGTGCTGAGTGTTTTATAGAAAAACTTCATGATGGCCACATTCTTATTTCCAATGCAGAGACTTAAAAAACTGAAAAATTGAAATGAGTTACTAGAGGTCTCACAGATACAATGAAGCTGAGATCTAAATGAAGGTGTGCCTGGCTCCATGGAGTCATGCTGCCTTAATCCAGGGCTTCAGCAATACATTTAACCATCTATCTTTTTGATACTACGGTGTAATGGTATAATGGCACCAGCCTTGATGTCCTCCCTGAGGTTGTACATGTCAAAATTAAAATGAGATCATGGAACAACAGCACCTTTTAACTGCGAGATGCTGCAGGGAGAACAGAGAAATCACTAAAGGTCTTTCAAACAGAATGAGTTTAGTACAGGGAATGAACTACCCAAATCATGGAAGGGCTGAGAAGCCAACAGGAAAGGCTGAAGCAAACCCAAGGACAGCAAGAATAAGGATTCCCCTTGGGCCGGAGGGACAAGAAGAGAAGGTGATTTTGCCAGAGTCAGAAGCTCAAAAGCTGGGGTATCCAGTAGGTGCCACAGCCCTGGCAGGGGCTGCCCACACCGTTGAGATAATGGAAGGAAGGGCTATCCGAAAGGAGATAAATACAGGAAGAAAAGACAGCAGCTGCTGGTGATGCCCCAGAAGCAGAGAGAGGGGTAGAAATGCCCTGGCTTCTCCCCTTGCCCCATCCTCCAGCATTTCTCCCATTGGCCAACCCTTTACAGGAGCCTGGGAAACATAGTTCCCTACAATGAACAACAGAGAACAGCATGGAAAGTACAGGAAGTGGATTGAAAGCAAACTTGCTATTAACCACACCACACATACACACAAGATACTATTATTATCAGAGAGAGCTCCAGGCTCCTGATTGACAGAGGAGGGAGGCTAGACATGGGATTCTAAAATAACTCTGCATTTCTCTCTTCCCACATACCTAGAACAAATAGGTGAAAAAACTCAACCAGAGGTTTCTACAGTTCTGAATAAAATCTTGACTGTACAAAACAGTTGGGGTGGAAGAGTTACTAAGAAAAAGGAGGATGGGCAGGTTCTACATTTGATTCTGCCTGCAAGCTGCAAAAAGATAGCAGTCCAAGGGCAGGGTTTATTTACATCATAAAAATAGAGGGAGGCCTCGGGACTGATGGAAGTGACCTGCCCCCTCATCAGGGGCCTCTGGTGAGGAGGCGCATAGGAGCTCAACCCCAGAGACCAAGAATGACAGCGTCCCTCTGGCACCCTTGATCCGTCAGAAACTGACAGCCCTCCTGTCCAGCAGTGAGCTGGCCAGCAGCTGCTGCGACAGCATCCTGCTGGAGGGTGTTGATGAGAGGGAGAAAACAGCCCCAGCCAGAAGCCACCCATCCCACTTCTCTCTTCATTGATGCCCTCCCCTGGATTCTGTCTTGAGAGGCAAATGCAGTTCCAGAGAAGCACTCTTGGCCTCATGATTTCTAAGCATCACTTCTCCATCAGGCCTGGTATTTGCAGATGGTTCCTAAGTCCAGGACTATCTATCCTCACTTGCTGTTGGAGCCCCCAGCACCCTACAGTTTAAGGCATAGGCCGTGCCAAGCTCCTTTGGGGTGTGTGTTCTCACTCCCTTAGGACTGGAACACTCCTACAACTCCTTTTTGTCAGGGTAGCACTGTCTCACCTCTCAGATCTCAGTAAATGTCACTTCCTCGGGTGACTCCTCTCTGACCACCCTCCTAGCAATAGTGATCTATGCTTCCTAGCACTCTGTACTTGCCTTACTTATTACACTCTATTGTTACTACTCATGTAATTACTTAGACCAGGGGTTGCAAACTACAGCCAGCAGGCCAATCCAATCTACTGCCAGTTTATGCAAATAAAGTTTTATTGGAACACAGGCATGGTCATTTATTTACATATTGTCTATGACTGCTTCTATACGACCGTGATGGAGTTAAGTAGTTGCAACAAAGACCTCGTGGCTGGCAGAGCCTAAAGTATTTGCTATCTGGCCCTTTAAGCAAAGCTTTGCTAACCCCCAACCGCAGTTATAAAAATTTTCTCGATCATCCATCCCTGTGAGCAAAATATTTTTATTACTCTCCCTCCTAAAACAGTATGTGGACATGTATTTTATTATATTTTTAAATTATATGTATTTTAATTGTATGTTTAAATTATATACATGCACTACTTAGTAATACTGCTCATACAGTATGAAACACAGTAGTAGAAAGTGTTTAAGATTGAATTAAATATATAGATGGAAGCGCTAATATTTTCTCCCTATGCTCAAGCATCATTAGTCCAAGATGGTACCTAAAGCATGGGGGGCATTAAAAATGTTTATTACCTTAATAAAAGCCCTCTCTGAGGCTGCAGATCTTCCCAAACTGAATGAGCAACTCTCTTGTGCCTTTGCAAGCCCTATAGATTAAATTAGAGCCATCAAGCATAGGAATCCTCTCAAGACTGAGATGTGTCATTGGGTTTTCCCACATTGTCCATTGCCCTGTGAGCTCTGTGAAGGTGGGGACTTTTTGTCTGTTGTGTCCACTGTCATAAACCCAACATGTAGACAGTGCCTAGAACATAGTGAGAATCTAATACATACGTGCTGTCAGAAGGAATGAATGAAAAAGCAGACCTCCCACACCAGAAAATAACTGACATTTTCTCCCATTTCTACCTTCTTCCTGAAAGACCCTCAGGGTCAATAGGCACTTTGTTTTTGCATTGTGAATCTTTTTTTTTTTTTTTTTTAATTAATGGTAGGGCTGGGAACAGTAGCCTATAATCCTAGCATTTTGGGAGGCCAAGGTAGACGGATCACTTGAGGTTGGGAATTTGAGACAAGCCTGGCCTGGTCAACATGGTGAAACCCCACCTCTACTAAAAATATAAAAATTAGCTGGGTATGGT